TGAACCTATCCTCCCCCTCTACATTGGTATAGTATGAAATTCATCTTTAGAAAGAAACAATCGGTATCTCTCATGGTCATTAATTGCATACAATGTAAAATCATGTATCATTCATCAAACAACAAAAACAAAAGCAAAAAAAGAACAAAAAGCTTTAGAAAGAAAGAAGAGAAGAGAGAGAACCCGTGATGTTTATGTTTTTTTTTGTAGGACTTCACATGTCCCCAGGGAAGGTTTATAAATTATCAAAATTTCAAAAATTAGCCTCCAACAAAATTCAAATGTCATTAAATTTAAAAAATCAACAAAATTTTTATATAAAACATTTTGTTTTGTTTTTGTTTTACAATGTACACATAGAGAAAATGTTCACAATTGAAAAAGAAGATGGGCGCAAAGCGCCCTAAAAGGCTAGTATTATATAAAGCTTTCATTTTTCAATAAAACTTATTTACAGAAAAACAATTCTGAATATGAAATAAAGATTTTTAATATTAAAATTTCAATTTCTTAATTTTAAAAAACGGTAAATACAAATTCAGTGAGTCTTAACTTTAAACACCATTTTTACCCATTGAAGGAAGATTTATTGCAATTATTGATTTCTTCTTTGTTGCACAAAAAGTTATTAAGTCGTTTAAGTTATTTTTGACGGAGTTTGAAATAAGACAGAACCACTTTCTTTGTAGTTAATTTTACGTGCCAGTGTAACTAAAAAAAGTCTAAAATATGAGAACACAAAAGTAAATAAAGCGCAAAAAATCTGTTAAGCGTGCATACTTTGCGCACATTTCCTCTAAAGCCATCAAACCATTTCACCGACAAAGATTGCATATGCAAAATGCACAGAAACTAGTGCAAAATATTCGCTGCTTGGTTTGAAATTCAATTCTTGAAAGATGAAGAGACAGTTATAAAAAATATATAAACACTTTTTTTTGGGGGGGGGGGGAGGGGGGGGGCCTTTTAAGATTAAACTATAAAATATGTTATACTTACTTTTCGTTTTCTTTTGAACGTTCTAAGAATCATTGTTTTAAAATTTGTTTAAATTTAAATGTAATTAAAATTAAATCTGAACTTTGCAAAAATCTTTAGACTCTGCAATTAATAACATTGAATTCAATGAACTTTTGTGCAAAATTTGATGCACAAGGAACAGGAAGAATAAAGTGGGACTGACAGAAAATGCTTGAACAGCAAGTATAAACAAAATCAAGAAACAGGTTTTTATAAAACATATTCCATAAGTGGGGGAAATCATTTAAAAAATAAAAATGATGGATAAAAATACATTTTGATTTTAAGTTTAATATTTTCCATGAAATTATTATTATCCTTTTTTAAAGAATTTAATACTTTATCATAATTTGGGGCCTTTTTGTCAGCTATATACTTTAAGAAGATTAGGATATAAATATGATTAAAACAATTTAATAATTTAAACCACCTAATTCTATTTTATAATAATAAATGCTCTGGGTGCGAATTTAAACAGATCAAAATATCACTTTTTATCAAATTATAATGATTAAGAAGATTTTGACAAACAACCAGTAAGTTAAGGGGGGAGGGCAGAACCGCTATTTAGGGGGGATGGGCACATGCCCCCTCTCCCCTAAAGGATCAAATTTAGGGTGAAATGAGTAAACTTTTATGTGAAATATGCTTTGCCCCTCCCTGTCTACCCGGGGTTCCCCCCCCCCAAAAAAAAAAAAAACTTATAGTTACAGGCCATAGGGGTGGGGGGGGGGGGGAAGTGTCATGCCAATCTTCAAGACGACAGCATGCTATACAATGCCCCGTATTTGGAGATATTAAATTAAGTCTCCTAGAGTTTATATTTATTAATAGTTTGAGTTGTAAAGGTGTTTGTCCAAGGCCAACGGCATAAAGATAAGAGTTTGTACAAATATTTAGACAAACTTTGTATGTTCGGAAACAGAGGGAGGGGGAGGTGGGGATTTTTCACTTATTGCTTTCTTTATAGCTAGGCTTATGTTTGCTTAATAGGCTTACATTTGCTTCAAGTCAATAGTTTCTTCTAAAAACTCTCTTGTGAGTAACAATTATGCAAAAAATATTGATTTTTTAAAAAGGTTTACATCAAATACTTTCATGGATCAAAGAAATCGAGTTTTTGCCACAAACTCAAATGTATGATGCAACTTGATGGTGTAAACCTTTAATAAATCAAACTTATTTGATCTAATAGAAAACATAGTTTGAACTATGTAAGGTCTACGACATTGGGTTAATAAGATATTGGGATTAAATCAGAGTTTGTGGCAAAAACTAATTCTTTTATTTTCTGTTATTTTTCACAATATGACATGTTTTTTAAGTTTAATGTTAGATGCTCAAGATAAAGATTAAAACCATGATTAATGCCTTTATTTAGGAAATTTATGGCCATAGCGATGATTTGTGTTTTCGATAAAAAGATTAAATTAAGAATTTATTCAATTATTATCTAATCTCGAGATAGAATCAAACATTAATGATTGACCGTTTTTTGAAGCTATGAAACCTAAACTTACACAGCGCTGATTTAACGGTTCGGTTTCGATCACAATTTGACCTATTAAACGATCACAATTTGACCAATTTGAGTTATAGACCACAATGTGATTGAATGCAAATAGATGAAACCGAATGCATCTCGCCCTGGTTAGTCCGGGGTGAAACGGGGAGCATATAAATTAATCAACATTTAAAGGGACAGTCAACGTTATTTTAAGTGAAATTTTATTTAAAGAGAAACATGCCCAAAACACAACTTACTTATTATGAGAAATCTCAATCGGAGGTAAAATGTCTGACATTAAAACAAGGATCTCTCAATATCTCGCTGTATATCGGGTCACTTGAAATAATGTCTACACTCTAAAGTCCCTAGAAAATGTAGACAATTTTTTGTGACACACTGTACCTCAAGTTGGGTAAAGACGCATACCACAATTTGGTGAGAGCTGTGGTTTATGTCAAACATGGAAAATTTAGTTCATCTCAAACCACAAAATGCAATTGAGTTCAGAGGTAGAAATTTTTGTGTGTGTGGGATAATGCCAAGGTTGTATAATAAGGTTGGTTAATCTCGATGCTCTTCAATTTACAGAAAATGTCGTCCCCTGAGCATAGATAGATAAAAACCTCATATGACGTCATTGATTAAAGAGGCAAGAGTGTCGTCATATGAGGTTTTATCTATCTATGCATTAGAGACAATATATACCCTACATTGGAGCGCATCGAGAGTAACCAACCTTATTATACAACCTTGGATACCGCTAATCTACAATACTTGATCCCAATACCCAATTTTAGAGGAATAAGTTAATTTTCCGACTATGGGATATCCAACAGAAAT